CTTGGAAACCCTATACAGGGTTGCTATGAGTCAGAACTAACTCAGTGGCACTTACCAACAACAGCAGCAACTGATTGTGGTCAGTGCTATGAAGAAAAGTTTCATGCTGTTGTGAAAGTCTTAGTCTTTGTGGAGGCCAACCTGATCTGATCTAGGGAAATAGAGGGTGGCTGTCAGAGGAAGTGAAGCTGGGGTTTAGAAGATGAGAAGATGGACCCTGGGTTTAAAAAGAGTGAGTATCTGGATGACGGGATCAGAGCTGCAACAACCTCATGGTCGGAGGGAGCATGGCTCCTTCAGGAAGTGGTAAAAGGCCAGTGTGGTCTGCATTGCAGGATAGACAAGGCTTAAGAGGCAGGCAGGGGCTGGATGCTACTGGGCCCCATCAACCAGGGTGAGAATTTTTGAAAACCATTATCCTAAGAGCAGTTGTTATTGTTGTTAAGTGCTGTTGAGTCTGTTGTGACTCATAGTGACCCTGCAGAGAGTTTCCAAAGAGTGGCTGGTGAGTTTGAGCTACCAGCCTTGCACTTCAAACTGACCTTGCAGGCCAGTCTTATCCTGCAGCAGTACAGTAGGAATCATGAATGACATTAAAGCAGGGGAATGACTTGCTCAGACTTACATTTTGAAGAAAAAAAAAATTATTAGAAAAAAAAACAGTTAAATTGGAGTCATGAGGGGATGCCAGTTGCGGGGGGGGCTACTGCAGTGTCCCAAAGACAAGATGGTGTCATAGACAAGAACAGTGATGGGGGAGGCAAAAAGGGTATGCATTCAAGAGATAGAGTAAGAAAAATCAACAGGTTTTAGAGATGGATTGGACGTAGTTGGTGATGGTGTTCCATCAATTTTCGGTTTGTTGAGGTGAGACCACGTCACCCCTTCATACATTCAGAAATGAGATTAGTGCTAAAGAGCTTGTCCTCTGCTCCGTGATCATAGTAATAGGATAAAGATGCCAATTTGTTGTTGTTGTTGTCAGTATTTGGTCTCACCTTCTCCCAGAACCATCTTCCTCAGCCATTAGCTTTATTTTGCTACCCCATTCTGGACATTCTGAGTACATCCTTAACAGCCTCCCCACAGCCCTTTCTGCCAGCTTCTTCTTCTCCTTGTTTTCTGAATTCAGCCTGTCAATGTCTTTATCTCAACCTTATATAACTTCCAGTTCACCTTATTAAGGAAAGCTTCCCAGAGGCAGATTTTGGACGTATTTTTGAACCTGGTGGCATTTTGGATGTGTTTTGGATTAGAAGGAAGATCCCGTAAGCACATAGCTACACACTGGAAGTTCCCATTTTATCTGTATCCCAAGGATACAGAAATCCCCCAGTGTGGTGAGGCAGCAGGAGTGGAAACAGCATGTCTTGGTGGATGGTGTTTCCCTGGTTCCTTGGTTTTCTGATGGGGTTCCAGTGACTGGTGAAACTGAGTTCACTAGGATCCCAAATTAAGAAAACTATTGAATTCTTGTTATATTATTGCTGTTTTATACTCAGTTTACCTCATGCTTCTGTGAGAACCTGTGCTTTGTGGTTCTTTGGAAGGGACTTATTTGTTTTTTATTCTTGAATCAAACTTTTCACCAGCAAGTTGATGTCATTCTTAGGCAGGAGAAATAAAAATCAATGTTCAGGGTACAGCACAGTATTTTGGCGTCTAGATTTCCCATCTCCAGTCAGTGAAAAGTCCTTTCCTTGAGATTTATATCCTTATTGCCATTAACTTTGATCATTGTTATCTCTAGTGCCTCCCATGTTGTTGTTGTTAAGTGCTGTTCAGTGAGTTCTGAACAATAGTGACCCTGTATAGGGTTTCCAAGGAGTGGCTGGTGAGTTTGAACCACAGGGCCACACCAGACTCTGTGCCTACCATGGTGGCTGATAGATAGTAGTTGCTTGATAAATACCAGTTGCACAAATGAATGAGTTTATAAATAGTATAACATTGCTTTTGTAGATATGATCTTGCACAGTTGCTTTTTAACTATCCTTGGGTAATTGTGTCCAATTGTGTGTATAAGTATCCCATTCATTTACAACACTTAGTTTCCTCGTTAGTGGATCTGTTCCTCAGAGACAGGAAGATGTTGGTTTTAATTTCTCTTGGTTCCAATCCCGGCTTCCTTGACTTGCTACATCCTCCTGCCTTCCAGTCTCTACCTTTTTCCTTCTCATAAAAGTTAAGTGCCACAAATTTTATGTGCTAAGCTCTGGCCTAGGGACAGAGGAAATAAAAAAGTAAGAGAGAGCCTGACTAAACAGACAAGGATGGTGATATGTAAGCATGCTGGCTCTCTGGGGTTCTGTGAAACCCAGGTAAGGAGCAGAAAGGGTGTCATGGAGGAGATGATAATGTAGCTGTGTCCTTAACTATAAGTAGGTATTCACCAGGGTGCTATAGGCACATAGCAAAAAGGCTTGTTTGCTCAACTAAAGAAAGCATGTTGTTTTTGTTGCCTTTGAGTCAATTCCGACACATAGTGACCCGTGTGTTAGAAAGAAGAAATACTCTGAAGGGTTTTCTTGGCTGTAATCTCTTTTCTTCTTCTTTTTTTCTTTAAATTTTTATTGTGAATTGGGTGAAGGTATACGGAGCTCTGGTAGCATAGTGGTTATGAATCGGGCTCCTAATTTCACAGTCAGCAGTTTGAAACTACCAGCTGCTCCGCGGGAGAAAGATGAGGCTTTCTGCTCCTGTAAAGATTTATAGCCTCGGAAATCCTGTACATGGTCGCTATGAGTCGGAATCAACTCCACGGCACAGAACAACAACAACAACATACAAAGTTAATTATCAGTTTTATGTTTAACATTCATGCACATTTTGTTTCATTTCACTGATTACAGTCCCCTCAATACAACATCACTTATTCTACTTCCTCCTTCTTCTTCCTATTTATATTTCTCCTTCTTTCCTAACCTTTTTGAACTCTGTCCTTAGATAAATGCTGCCCTTTTGATCTCAAATGGTTGATCATTTTAAGGTGTGCATAGTCTCAGGGGTTCCACCAGTCTCTATCTAACCAGTAAGCCTGGTCTCTTTCATGATTTTGAGTTTTGTTCCACATTTTCTTCTACTTTTTCTTGGACCATCTAATGTGATCCTTTTCAGAGCAGTTGATAGTCGTAGCTGGGCACCATCCAGTTCCTGTGGTCTCAGGGTCATGGAAATTAGTGTTCATATGGTTTTGCGATATGCAGATGATACAACCTTGATCGCTGAAAGTGAAGAGGACTTGAAACATTTACTTATGAAGATTAAAGAGCACAGCCTTTGGTATGGATTACATCTCAATGTCAAGAAAACAAAAATCCTCACCACTGGACCAATAAACACATTCTTATCAATGGAGAAAAGATTGAAGTTGTCAAGGACTTCATTCTTCTTGGATCAACTATCAACACTCGTGGAAGTAGCAGTCAAGAGATCAGACGACGTATTGCACTGGGAAAATCTGCTGCACAGGAAATTTTTAAAGTATTGAAGAGCAGAGATGTCAGCTTGAGGACTAGGGTGCGCCTGACCCAGGCCATTGTGTTTTCAATAGCTTCATATGGATGCGAAAGCTGGACAGTGAATAAGGAGGATCGTAGAAGAATTGATGCCTTTGAGTTGTGGTGTTGGAGGAGAATACTGAGGGTGCCATGGACTGCCAAAAGAACCAATAGATCTGTTTTGGAAGAAGTGCAGCCAGAGTGCTCCTTGGAGGCCAGGATGGCTAAGCTTCGTCTCTCCTACTTTGGACATGTAGTCCGGAGGAAACAATCATTGGAGAAGGATGTCATGCTGGGTAGGGTGGAGGGTCAGAGAAAAAGAGGAAGACCCCCAACGAGATGGATCGGCCAGGTGGCATCATTGATGGCGTCGGGTGTGGCAGCGGTGGTGAGGTTGGCCCAGGATCGGACATTGTTTCGTTCTGCTGTGCATGGGGTTACTGTGAGTCGGTTCCGATTCGATGGCACCTGACAACAACAATGGTTTTTGTTAGTCCACTGTACTAATTGTTTCCAGGTATCTTTGATTTTCATCACTCTTATTTATTCCATTCAGGGAGAGACCAATAGTTGCACCAAAGATGGCCACTCACAAGCTTTAAGATCCAGTTGCTACTCATCAAAGCAGAATGTAGAACATTGTCTTTGTGAACTATGCCAGTTGATCTTGGAGTTCCCTGAGACTATGGTCCTGAGACCCCAGGGGTGTTTGATTATATCTAAGGTATTTTCATAGCTTCCCCCCTGTATGCTTCTCATATTCATGGATATATTTGCAACAAAAGTAAATACTCATGTACAAATACTCCTTGTCAAACCTATATATATTTTTGGGTACACTCCTACTCTCCTTCCCATAACTGTGCAGTCTGTGTGTCTATTCAATTGTGTGTTGTCTTGGCTCTAATCTTAACAGAAGCAGATTACCTGGTCTTTTCTTCCACAGTACCACTGAGTGGGTTCTAACTGCCAACCTTTATGTTAGCAGCTGAGTACAAACTGTTTGTGTTACCTAGGGCCATTAGAATGGAGTCCTGGTAAGGTGCTATAGGATAAGCACTCAACTGCAATGTCAGTTTGAACTGCAAGGTTGGTGGTTCAAATCTACCAGTTGCTCCTCAGATACCCTATATAGGGATCGACAGCACTTACAACAACAAGAGGCATTGGAATAGCTTCAATATGCAGCTTCTGACTAGGGGATGTTGGTCTCTGGATTCTAGTATAGATACTCCTGCCTATCTTGCCTCATTCCCTTATTAGCTATGAACTAACAAAGGGAGTATATGTAAATGGTTTGTATGTTGTGTATATGTGGGTGTGCGTTATAGAGACAGAGAAAAGAGATGGATAGGTGAATGGATTGAAGAGGGAAGTGGACACAGCTGAATCCGGTGTTCATAACTAACATTTCCTGTTGACTTTTTAGCCAGGCATTCCATCACAGTGCCCCTCTGAGGACCCCATACCTCATGAGTCTTCTCATTTCTTGTCTTTTAGGTCAGGCTGTCCCTGCAGGGTCTCACGTGCGGTTGAATCTCCAGACTGGTGAAAGAGAAGTGAAACTCCAATATGAGGACAAATTCCGAAACAATTTGAAAGGGTCAAGAAAAGGCAAAAGGTACAGTTTCAGCCCTAGGGACTGGGAGGGTAAGTGATGGCATTGATTGTGTAATACCGAAAGCAACGACAATGTAATGTTTCTTCCTCAAATTCATGCGACTTTTTTTTTTTAATTTGAAATTTAATAGCCTAGAATTTGTGATAAATCTGTCAGGGTTTTATGGCATTTTACTTCTATAGTCTTTGGAAAGAAACAGTTTGCAAAGCAAATTGATACTTTAAAAAAGGCTGTAGGGGGAATGCTTAACCTGCTTTGAAAATGAAACTGTTTTTTCCCAGTACTTTAAGAGCACCCATTTGAATCCCAACAATTAATGCGCTGATTACAGATGAGTCATCTATTCATTAAAACAGGCCTGTTAGGCCTTCTGCTTTGCAGTCATACTTCCTTGGTGAACAATATAACTGCATTTTAAAGTCTTTAATTCAGACTAACTTTTTCTCTTGTTAGTCCATATTAAAACAGAATTTCTTATAGTATAAAAGTAGAAACAACTGTAATTCTCCAATGGTTTTGGTTTCCTTATTTTTTAATAGTCACTTTAGATTATTTGATTTTGGAGAGATAATATTTTCTATTTTTTGCCTAAATTAACAAATCTTCTGCACAAACATTTTTGTATGAGGGGGGAGTAGACTGAAGTATAAGGCAACAGGGGCTGCTTTACTTATGTTTTCTGGAAGGTCAGTATAAATATTAGACATGAAAGTGTTAACACAGAGATCAAAATACTATTGCCTGTTTTTGTATGGCCCACTAGCAAAGTTGGTTTTAACATTTTCTAGTGGTTGGAACCACTGCTCGTCTGTCGTCAGTGCGTTGTACTTTGGTGACTTGTGTGTTGCTGTGATGCTGGAAGCTATGCCATTAGCTTTTAAATACTAGCAGAAATGGTATCACTTTCATTGTCAAAAAGAGCATTTCAGGATCCATCTTTGAAGGACAATGCTGTCTGTAATAGGATAATATACACATATCTACAAGGTAGACCAGGAGTCCTGAGTGTGTGTTAACGTGTGTGTATGTTTGTGTGTGTGTGTGTGTGTGTGGCACTGCGGCAGTTAGAACTGAAAAGTCAGTGGTTGTATACAATGTTGTTAAGAGTTGGAACCTATACAATGTTGCTATGAGTCGGAACCAACTTGTCAGCACTTTACAACATCAACAAAATGGTAGACCAATAATACCACTGTTATTTCAAATTTACACACCAACCACTAAAGCCAATTGAAGAATTTAAGGCTGAAATTGATAGAACATGCAATCAAAATATACTGATAATTATTGATGATTAGAATACAAATATTAGAAACAAAGAGGAAGCATCAGCAGCTGGAAAATATGGTCTTGGTGATAGAAACGATGTTGGCGATCATGATAGAATTTTGCAACACCAACAACGTACTCATTGTCAATACATTTTTTCAACAATATATAAGTTAACTGACTATACACATGAACCTCACTAGATGGAATGCACAGGAATCAAATTGACTACATCTGTGGAAAGAAATGATAGAGTAGCTTAATATCATCAGCCAAAACAAGGCCAGGGCAAACTGTGGAATAGACCATCAATTGCTCATATGTAACTTTAAGGTGAAGCTGAAAAAAATTACAACTCCATGAGAGCCAAATATGATCTTGAGTATATCCTACCTGAATTTAGAGACCATATCAAGAACAGA